TGACAGAGAGATACTTGGGACTGTACATCTTCACCCACGCCTCCCCGTGGGGCTGGTGCCAGGACCGACAGGAAGTGACTGCTCCAAGACCAGAGAACCCAAGAGTTCTTGGCTCCCCTGTCCGTGCTCAGAGCAGGAGACCAACCACTGAGTTATTAGTTACTGATGGGAGGCCAAGGAAGAAAAAGTTAAAGCTACAATAAAAACTAATGTCTGATTCTCCCACCCTGAAAATCTAAAGGGGGGAGTTGGAGTTAGGGAAACTCCCAGCCCCAGGGAATGGTCTGATCTATATTCTTTAGTCCCCATTTTAAGAAGGACAGCAGCCGTAGGCACTGTGCGGCCTGAGGAAATTGCTCTTGAATCCCTTCCCAGCAGCAGAGAGCAAGGGGAGTGGGCTGGCCGGGGTTCCCGTGCGTGTGCAGCGGAGGGGTTTAGTGAAATTCAGGGGGAAGCAAAGGTAGCTCCCTTAAAAAGCAGCCCCACCTCCTGTAGTGTAGGCAGCTGCTCCCAGCACTGGGAGGTCGGCCAGAGAGAACCGGGGCCTGATTTTTTTCCTCGCAAGGGACCAATAACGTTACATCTGCTGACACTGCTTGTCTGGCAACTGGAGATCAAAGGACGGCATTCCCCATAGCACAGAGCAGGCTAGGTGCATTGGGGTTTCTCCCTCCCACCGAAGCCCATGCTGGAGATCAGCTACTGGCCTTGACAGATGGTAGATCTGATCCAGGGTGGCGATCCCTATTTTCCCAGCCTCTGCTTGCCCTTCAAGGGGGATCCCAGGTGCTGCTTTGCACATACTCTGCAGACAGCAGCTGTTCCGGGGTTAGCCCTGGGTCCTGCCTCACAGCTGCTTTGAACACAGAGCCCCCTCAGCAGCGACTTGTGCCGCCCTCTATGGAGCCCCGCAAGAGGCCTGTGAATGCCAACTCAGTGAGAGAACCTCTGTCCCTTTGCTGGAGGCCGCTAGGTTACCAGGGAGCAGGACACACCCTCGCCCCGCTGGGATCTGCCTCTTGGACTAGCTGCATGTCCAGCCTGAGAACTCCCCACACTCCCTCATGGGCAGCAGCTGGCAAGGAACATTGCCCAGTGGTTTGAGCAAGAGGCTGGAAATCGGGACTCCTGGGTTCTAGTCCCTGCTCCGGCACTGTGTGGCCTCAGGCATGTCCCTTCCCCTTAGTGCCTCGGGTCCCCCTGTGAGATGGGGGTAGCAGCTGGGCGGAGGGGTTTGTAGAGAACCCTGACGTGGGCGCTGCCTGCCCCAGAATCATTCCTACGACTGCCCTCGGAGAGCAGCACGGCTCTGAGCACGCTGCAGTCCAGCTCCATGGGGAAGCTAGTCTGGAGGGTGGGGGGCATGCTCCTGCCTGGCAGTTCACCCCCAGCACTTGGCGCTGCCCCTGGTGTGCTCCTGGCATGGGGCTGGTGCTCACCCAGCCGCGCTCAGGCCGAGCGCTCCGGGCAGACGTGCAGGACGGCTGGGTGCATCCATGGCCCCAGGGGGCTGGGCTGGGGCCATCCCAGCTCTGCGCTGGTGTTGGGCCCTCAGGGCCCGGCTGGTCCTTCACCCAGTCTCTCTCCGCGCAGGGCTTCTCGGACGATCGCCATGGCGACGTGGTGGTGGTGCGGCCCATGAGGGAGTACGCGGCCAAGGAAATTGCCTTCTACAACCACCTGTTTGGCGTTCCCACGGTCTTCACTCCTGCCTTGGACACCAAGGTAGGGAGTGCGCGGGTCTGAGCCTGCCGGGCACTGGGCTCTTCCGGCAGGGCCATGGCACCCCCTCTTGGGCCCCCGTCTCTCACATCCCAGCCCAGCCCACGGGATCTGCAGCCCTTCCCAGCGGTCAGTGCCACAGGGTGGCTGTGCCATGCAGGGACTCCGGTGCCCCTGGCACCAAGGGGCACTTTCCAAAGTGCCTGCCTGCAGTGATCCCTGATAGGGGTGGGCAGCGAGGCCAGGGCCCCAAGCCCAGAGGCCCGGCCGATGTGACTGGGGGAAGGCTCTGGCAGATTAGGCTAACGCCCCCTCCCCTGGGCATGGTGCCGAATCCATCACCCCAGGGCCCCTGAATGTCTGTGGGGATGACCCAGCTGCTTTGCTATCATCACAGGGGAGTCCTGGAGTGGGCGTGGGGGTTGGAGGCAGCTAGGCTATGAGACGCCCTGTGGCTTTCTCCCTGCAGGCCCTGGAGAAGGCCAGCATCCACCGGGTGATCGAGCGCTTCCTCTACGGGCTGCAGGCAGAGTTCCCCTCGACCGTCAGCACCGTGTACCGGTAAGGGCTGGCCCCTGAGCGGGGATGGGACTGAGATCAGTCCCGTCCCTGCGACACCTCTGCAGACCTTGGCTCTGCTCAGCTGGGAAACGTGGGGTTGGCTTCACCCTGGAGGCCATTTGCCCTCATCAGACCAGAGCCCTGGTGGGAATGGCTGGAAGCTTCTGCGAGGGTCAGAACTCTGCAGCGCCCCGGAACCCTGACTCACAGCACCTCCTGCTGCGCAGGGCGCCCAGGACTGCAGTGGCATGGGTGGGGCTACAGGGCACTGATTGAACTGCGTGGGGGAGCCTGGGACGGGAGTAATGGGACCTGCGGGTCAGGACTGAGGGGCACTGGCAGATGCTGGCATCGCCTGGCACTAACCTCTGTGTGTCCCCCTCTGGGCTGCAGGACGGGCGAGAAGCTGAGTGCGACCCCTGGAGATGCCGGCCTTGCCCCTGGTGCCGCTGAGCCCGAGCGCTGCCTCCTCTGTTCGTGCGCCCTGGACACTAATGTGGGTAAGTGCAAACGCCGCCCACCTGCCTCTCCCGGCTGAGCCCAGCCAGTGCAGGCTCTGTTCGCTCGGCCCCTTTCCCTGGGGGGGCAGCCTCCCCCACCCACAGGATCCCCCTGGCTGATCTAGGGCAGGGCACCAACAGCTACCCTCCCAGGTCAGAGCCCATCGGGGTCTGGCCCCTCACCACCCCTACAGGAGCAAAGCAGGGGAACCTTGCCATGGTGGGGTGCCAGGGGCCTAGAGATGCAGCCTGGCTAAGGGCAGGCCAGGGTGAGGATTTAACTAGCCCCTTTTCCTATCTGCCCAGCTGAACTAGGGGCCTGGATATTCCCAGGGCGCCTCGTGCAGGGGAACCTGCCTCTGGCTGTGCCTGGCCTGGAAGGGGCCATCTGAAGGCCAGGGCTGTGGGGTTTGCCATCCTGGCTTGGGTCACTGGCTGGCCCTGTCTGCTCCACCAGGGAGAGGCAGATGCCTGGCCTGCTGGACGGGGAACGGAAGCCCGAGGGGCTCTGACTACCTTCTCTCTTTGGTGCAGAGGACGGCTCTGCTTTGCAAGCAATCCTGGTCTCGGAGCAGCTCTCCCAGCAGAGGCTGCCAGCTGCATCGCCTGCCGGGCGAGGGTGCTGCCAGGGGGCAGAGGAGCAGAGAGGGTGCTGCACGAACACGACCGCTCCAGGGTAAGGCACCCCCAGCCCAGGATCCATTGCGGGGTAGGTGCTCTGCTTGGATCATCACTGGCCTTGTGGCCCTGCGTGCGCTTCCCGTCTGGGCCGACACTCCCCTAGCAGCTGCGGCACCTCCCCACCACCATCCTCCTTGAGCTGCCCCCAGCCAGCTCCTCGCAGGGTATCCCTGGAGAGAACCGGCCCCCAGCCCTCACCTCACTTTTGCCTTCTCCCCTCAGGGCCGACGCCCGGGCTGACTTCCTGCCCCTGCTCTGCTACGGCTGCAGACTGACCATCAAGGACATGGTGAGCCCCTCTGCCCCTCCGGGGCTCTGCTGCAGCCCAGGCCGGGCTGGCGGGACCAGTCTCAGCCCTGCTTTATGCCCCCGGCAGACCTGGCTGTCTAGAGGGGTGGGTCTCCTTTGTTTGCAGGACTGTGGTCCCGGTGGAGTCTCCTTAGGATCCCAGCTTTGCCCATCAGCTCCCTGCATCCTCCCCTGCCCCCAGCCCAGGGCTGAGGCACAGTGCCAGGGGCCGGGGCGGGTGGAGGACACACCCTGGCGCTGCATGTGCTGTGCCTGCAGGGACACCAGCAGCTCAGGAATGGGGGGTGCTGGGGGCAGCCCATCACCACCGCTCTGTTCTGTTACAGACCTGCCTGGAGAGCCTCCCGCTCTACGTCCGCTCGGAGGCAGAGCGCAGGAAACGCAGGTACGGGGAGGGCGGGCGGGTCGGCGCCATCAGTCACCGCACTCCTGCATCACAGCTTGAGCCCTGGGAGGGCCGGGACTTGGCTCTTGCACGGATCCCAACCCCTTCGTCGGCAGACGTGGCTCTAGGCCGGGGAGGAGCCGCTGACCCAGGGGCCAAGTTATAAGTAAATCAGAGGCAGAATCTCCTCCTTTACCGTAACATCCAGAACGTGACCTGAGCCAGTGGGACCAGGCCCGCGCCGGGAGCTCACAACCCAGCGTGCTGGGGGTCTGAGATGTTGGTTGTCTTCCAGGGCCTTGATGAAGCTGGAAATCCAGGAGTTCTTGCTGGAAGATGAAGCTGTGAATCCGGGTGAGAGCTGACAGGTGGGCAGGGCTCCCTTCTCTGGACCACACTCCCAAAGAGCTCTACACTGTCCTGGCTGTCGGGGCCCCAGGAGAAGCACACCTGCCAGAGAGCAAATGGGGCATGGGCACAGCCCCCTCCAGCCTGGGCTTGAGATCTCCTGGGGCCCTGCTGCAGGGCATTGGGCCTGCCTTTGTTTCCAAGGTGCAGGGCCCAGCTCTTGTTCACTGCCTGCCCCTGGGAGGCACCTGCTACCTGCTGCGGGGGAGAGGAGAGAAGACACCGCCCTCCTTTTAATGACTGTTTTGAAGAAGAATACGTTATTTTGCAACCCTGGCCGCACAGCTGGATCGAGGCCCTGGGCCAACTCCCCACTCTTGAGCGGGTGAGGCCAGGCTGAGTCAGGCCTTGGACTGTGCCAGTCCCCAGCGGAGCACCCAGCCAGGAGGAGGCAGCTTCACGCCCCGCCTGGGCAGGAAGATGGAGTCAGTCAGTCACACTAGCAGGCCTTGGCTTGGCTTTTATTAGAGATCTTTATAAATAAACCATTTGAATTTTTTAAAAAAATCTACAGTCCAGCTGGAGGGAGCCCAGCCCTCGCCCCTGGGAGTGGCTGGGAGGGGTGCGGGGGGCAAACCAGTCCTGGGGCAAGCGGAGCTCCGCTGAGCTGCCTGCATGGGGCTAGCACGGGGAGCAGTGGCTGCAGTAGCATGTCCCACACCCTCTGCAGGCAGGGCAAGAGGGGCGGCAAGCCCAGCACCTCCTGCAGGGGTGTCAGGCCAGTGGGACCCTCTGCTTGCACCCATGGGTGCTGGCCAGTGCTGTGCTGGGGGAGTAAGGTATTGCTTTGGAGAGTTAGTGCAGCCGGCTTCAGGAGCAGGCCAAGGGGGTGACTGGGCCAGGCTTTACCTGCAGCGGGGTTGGGAGCAACTGCGGCCGGCTGGCTTGGATTCTCCCGCTGCAGGAGGGGGAGGCCATCTCCCTCACAGGCAGGCACAGCTGCTGAATGGGCTCCAGAGTGCACCCCCCCTTCTCTCTGGGGTGCTAACAGCCTGGCAGCAGCAGGGCTGGAAGGCACTGAGGTGGGGCCGGGGCAGGAGCGTGTCCCCACCCAGCTGATGTGGAGGGACCATGGCTCCTGGGGAGGGGGGGTCTTCACCCAGCTACCTTTGAAGGACTCACTAGTAAAGCAGTTAAACTTCCTTTTAAAAAGCACAAGTCCAGCCTTCCCAAGGTGCCCCCTCTCCCTCAGGGGTGGTGCTGGGCACAGCTCAGACCCCCAGGCAGGGTGGGACCCCCTGCAGTCACTGGGGCTGGCCTGGAGCGCTCAGGGTGCACTCGGCCCAGCTCCCCCCCCCCCCACGGGGCTCTCCAGCTGGGCTGGTTTAAGGCCTCAGTTGTGACATTCCAGGGGTCAGAGGGGGCCCGCAGCCGCAGCGCTGGTCGCCGGTGGCTCCCTGCTACTCCTTCTCCCGTGTCCACTTGATCATGGTCTCGGGCGAGCGGTAGAGGAAGATGAGCTTGGCGTAAAGCTCCTCTTCCAGCTCCAGCTCGCCCGTCTCGCGCACCAGGAAGATGTCCTGGCACAGCTTGAGGATGCGGTCCACGCACGGCAGCTCCTCGAACATGATGGAGTGCGAGATCTCGCTGAAGAAGCCCCGCACGAACTTGCCGATCACCAGCACGATAGATACATAGAGGCCCATGATGCTGCAATGGGGCGAGGGCAACAGGGTCAGCCCTTCTCCCTGCCCCCCAGCAGCGCCCTTCCCTACAACCGCTGGGTCCTGCACTGAGAGCAGGGTCAGGTCCTGCTGCCTCCGGCCTGGCTCCAAGCAATGGGACCGGCTGGGACTCCCATTGGGAAGCTAGCAAGGGACAGGAGGCTGCCCCGAGCGCACTCGTGTGCTCCTTGGGGTGAGGAATGGGGGGCGCCAGGAGCAGGAGGCCCTGAGCTCTGCTGTTGGTATGGTTGTTTGGATGGGCTCAGGGTTTGTACCACAGCACTGGGAGCACAGGCCAGGGAGTCCCCCCAGAAAGGCCTCCAGGCCATAGGGAGTAATGCCCCACTGAGCCCAGGGGCTTCCTCAGGCCAGATGTCCCCTGATACTGCAGGGGGGCACCCTCCCTGCCTTGTACCAGCGAGCCCAGGGGTGCCCTCACTGTAATGGGGGGGCACCCTGCCCATCTCTTCCCCTTCCCCCCTGGTACACCAGAGCCCTGGGCTGACATCCTTCCACCCCCTTGTACTAAATAGCCACTGGGCCGCCCTGGCTGATATCCCTCCATACCTCTGAATGGCCAACTCCCCCCCCAGTGCAGCACCCCAAGGCTGCTATCCCTCCCCTCCCCTCCCCACACTAGAGCCCTGGGCTGCCCCAGCCTGGTGCCCTTCCTCCAGCAATGGCCAATGGGGGGTGGTTGTGGAAGGGGCCCTGGCACTCACCCGTAGCCGGCCAGGAAGCCCAGGCTGGGCGGGCTGACCTTGTCGTTGAAGATCACCATGGGCAGGATGTCGCAGTCCCGCTGCTGGCACTCGGTCAGCCGCACCACCCACCACTCCAGGAAGCTGTCGGTGCCGCCCCCTGCACCCACGGGCTCCCGCTTCAGCTGCACCTCCACGCCCAGGTAGCTCTCCTCCTCCTCTGCGGGGATGGGGAGAGACGGGGTCAGGGCTGGGGGCTCGCCCCCCTCCAGCCAGGCGGGACGCGTCCCCCAGCACCCGCATGGCTGGCTTCCCAGGCATTTAGCCCAGCCACCCCCCAAAGCGGCTCCTGCTGGGCCATGCCCCCGGGCAACCCCCTCCCACAGTTCCTCTGCCAACCACTGCAAGGCCCAGCCCTGCAGCAGCGCTCCCGTGGCCTGCCCGCTGGAGAGGCAAAGGGGGCCATCTTCCCCTCAGCTGCCCCCCTTCCAAGGAAGCAAGGCCCTGACGCTGCCAGCAGCATGGAGACTGGGGACACCCGTCACCCTAGAAACCAGGGACTGAGCCCCTCCTCCCTGGCACCCCGGGGGCAAGTTCCTCCCCACACCAGGCAGCCCCAGCCCCCCAGCTCAGCATGCCGGGGGCAGACCCCGGCCGGCCGGCTCACCTGGCAGCAGCTGCTTGACGGGGTTGGCCTCTGGGCCGTTGGGCGCGCGGATGTACGTGGGGAAGAGGTGGGGGACTTGCCTGCAACACAAAGGGGGGTGAGGGGAGCCAGGCCGAGCCCTCCTGCTCCTCCTGGGGTGGCCAGGCTCCGTGGGGAGCTGGGCACAGGGTGACGGCTGGGGGGCTGTCAGACTGCTTGCACCGTGCTGTTCCCCGCTCCCTGACACGCCAGCCCCTCAGCACGGCGCAGGCTGGTTTCCTCCCGGCTGCGCTGTGGGGACGGGCCCCCAGGCCTCGCGGTTCACCAGTGTGCTGGACCCAGGCAGAACCCCCCGCCCCATGGTAGTCACCCTTGAGTCACCCGTGGCTCCACCCCACCCCTAGTCACTCCACTCGTAGCCCTGACCCGCGGCCATCTACCCACCCACCCACCCTGCCCCGCCTGCTGTAGCTGACTCTGACCTGCCCCCCATTATCCCCTCCTCCCAGGGCCAACTCCCCACTTCCTGATGTGCTCTCCCCAGCGCCCTGCAGGGAGAAGCTAGTCCTCCCCCGACCCCCATGCCACGGGGCCCCAACGCCCCCGCTGGGAGGCCGTGTGACGCCCTGGGAGCCTGGCCCCCCTGCCACTGGGCAGCCGATGCTTCATTGCAGGAGGGGAGGGGTTTAACTGGAGGCTTCCAGCCCCTCCTCCGCTCCCCCGGCTCCGTCCCTGGGGCGGCGCGGTACCCACACTCACACGGGGGCGTCCCTGGTTCCCTGCAGCAGGTTGGCGAGCTCGGTGCGGACGGGGGTGCCCGGCTGCAGGTCGGTGGTGTGCTTATCGAAGGTGTGCTCCACGGTGCCCCCCTTGCCCAGGTCCCTGCCGGGAGAGAGAGGGGAGGCAGGGTGAGTGTGGAGCAGGGCACAGGCCCTGGGGGCGGCAGAGCCCCCCGCCCGGTCCCGGCCGCTACCTCTGGAAGGTCCAGGTGAGCCGCAGCGTGATGTCCGACGAGCCGTTCAGCAGCTCCCTCCGCATCTGCTCGCGGCTGGGGGGGCTGATGCTCCAGAGCGAGCCCGAGCTGCCCTCGATGCGCGCTGTCACGATGTCCTCGTAGCCGTACAGCGTGATGAACTGCATGGCCACCTGCCAGCGCGGGAGACGTCAAGGCGGGAGTGTTGGGCAGGGACCCCATCTGACAGCCCCGCCCCAGCCACGGCCCCCGCCCATCACTGACACCAGGGGCGGGGAGAGACCATCAGGGCAGGAGTGAGGGTCAGGGACCCTGCCCCAGACGGCTCCAGCCACGGCCCCCACCCATCACCGACATGGGGGTGGTGGGGAGAGACCATCAGGGCAGGAGTGCGGGGCAGAGACCCCGCCAGTCGGCCCCCCCGAGATGGCTGCCACCCCAGCCACAGCCCCCACCCATCACTGACACCGGGGGTGGGGAGAGACCCTCAGGGCAGGAATGAGGGGCGTGGACCCTGCCCGTCAGCCCCGCCCCAGATGGCTGCCACGGCCCCCACCCATCACCGACACCAGGGGCAGGGAGAGACCATCAGGGCGGGAGTGTGGGGCAGGGACCCCCCACTCCAGACAGGGCCCCCGACCCAAGTGAACAGGCCCCTGGGCTGGAGCAGTCACTGCCTTTGCACACATTAGGGACAGGCAGAAGTGGGTGTGACTCCCGCTGGGTGCAAAGGCGGCAGGCTCCGGGGCCTGGCAGCAGGAGCGGAGCATGGGCAGCCAGCACTGGCAGCAGTCCCGCTCCCGACTGGGAGGAGAGGGGGACGCTCAGTCCAGCCCACGCCCATGGGTGCCTCCCAGCATAGCCCCTCTGTGGGAGTGGATGGGTGAGTGTGAGCACCACCAGCCCCTCCACAGCCCCCCACGCTGACCCCCCCCTTTCCCAGCCCCCCCAGCACATCCCCTGGGAGCCAGGATCTGCCCCTCCTCCTGCACCCCTCACCCGCACACCGTGGCTCCACCCGGCCATGCCCCCCACGGCTGGGGGGTGGGCCCCTTACCGGCTGCCTTTCAAACTGGTTGGTGAGCACCTCGTAGTCCTGGGGCGTGAAGGGCTGGATGGACTGCTGCTGGGCACTCATGGTGAAGAGCGGCTGCGAGGCAGCGGGGAAGGGGAGCAGGTGTTAGGGCCAGGGAGCGGGTGGGGACAGCCTCAGCAATGCCCCCCCCAGGCAGCAGCACCAACCTCCTCCTGCCGCGCGGCACCCGCTGGGAAGCCCTGGGGCAAGGCTGAGCGGGAGGTTGGGGCAACAGGAGCCGCAGCCCCATCCGGCCGAGGGTCTCAGCATCCTGCGGACCCTGCGTGCCCAGGGTCACGTGAGGAGGCAGGCACAGCCAGGGAACCCAAGAGTCCGGGCCCTTACCCTGCTTCTAGACCAGCCTGCCTGCCTCTCTGCTGCCAAGCGCAGGCCAGGCATCCCCAGCCAGTGGCCTGATTCCCTATCCCACCAAGGGGGAGTCTGAGCCCAAAGCCAGGAAGGTCCCCAGGCCCCCTTCCTCTCCCCAGCCAGCAGCCGGGCCATTGGGCAGCCAGAGCTGAGTGTGGCTGAGCAGAGCCCCGCTGAGCAGAGCCCCGGAGCTGCCCTGGTGGTGATCAGAGCCATGGGGGTCTGAGCCCCCCCGCAGTGGGATGCCCGGGGCCTGGCCTGGCCATTACCTCGTAGCCCCCCAGCTGGAGGGTGACGGTGACGTCAATGGGGTGGTTGACCACGCCCACCACGGAGCGCACCAGCGACATGAAGAGCAGCGGGAACCAGATGATGCAGATGAGGAAGAGGATGATAAGGCCCCCCATGCCGTACTTGACAATCTTCTTCTTCTTCTGGCCCTTGGGCTGGGGGTATTTCTGCGGGGACAGGGTGGGCTCAGCTCGGGGCCAGCGGGGCTCCCTGCAGGCACTGGCCCAGCCTGGGAAAGGACAGACCCCTGCCCTGGCGAGACAGCTGTGCTAATGGCTCCCAAGGCTCATCTCAAGGCCTTTCCCACCCTACAGGGGGCAGAGGAGGAATATGGGGGGACGAGGATCACACTAAGTTAAAACCTGAGTGACTTGGAGCACATGGTCTCCCCACACACCCCTGCGGATACCCCTCAATCCCAGCCCCTGTGTTATTCTACCCTGGGCTCCTTGCAACGCAGCTCAGCTGATGCCCCTGAGCCCCAACCCACGGCCTCCTGCTCTGCCAGTCCCGGGCTCCCCCCGAGCAGGGTCCGCCAGCTGAATCAGACGTAGTCACATTCTGTGGCTGAAGAAATGCCAGGCACCTAGCTGAGATCCTCAAACTCGTTTCACTTGTCCTGGAACTCAGCTCTGCAGAAAGTGCCTGCTACACCACCCAGCCCCCCTCCCTACCCAGCTCACCCACCCCGCCCTGCCCCCTCGCACTCCCCACCCCGCCCTGTCCCTAATGCCCTTTCAGCTTCAAGTCCCCAGGCCTGGGCATAAGAACAGAGACACTGGGTCAGAACAAAGGTCCACCTAGCCCAGTATCCTGTCTTCTGACATTGGCCAATGGCAGATGTCCCAGAGGGAGAGGCCCAAGAACACCCAGAGCGTGGGATTGTATCTCTGACCATCTTGGCTAATAGCCATAGATAGACCTATCTTCCATGAGCTTTTTTTTTTTTTAACCCTGTTATAGTCCTGGCCTTCACACCATCCCCTGGCAAGGAGTTCCACAGGTTGACTGTGCATTGAGTGAAGAAATACGTCCTTTTGTTTGTTTTAAACCTGCTGCCTGTTAATTTCATTGGGTGACCCCTGGTTCTTGTGTTATGAGAAGGAGTAAACAACACTTCCTGACGGACTTTCTCCACACCCGTCATGATTTTACAGACCTCTGTCATATCCCCCCTGAGTTGTCTCTTTTCCAAGCTGAACAGCCCCAGTTTTACTAATCTCTCCTCGCACGGAAGCCGTTCCATCCCCCTCATCATTTTCATTGCCCTTCTCTGCACCTCTTCCGGTTCTAACATAGCTTGTTTGACGGCTGCAGCACATTGAGCAGATGTTTTCGGGGAACTAGCCACAGTGACTCCAAGATCCCTTCCTTGAGTGGCAACAGCTCATTTATATACATTTGGGATTATTTGCCCAGTGAGCATGACTTTGTCCATAACATGTGGCGACACGGTCCCAATCAATACAGGGGTAGTTGAAATCCCCCATGATCACTGTTTTCGTGGCCTCTCCAATCCCTCTGAGCATGTCACAATCACCATGGCCATCCTGGCCAGGCGTCGGCAGCACCTTCCCACGGCCATGATCTTATCATGCAGGCATGGAATTCCTTTCCTCGGAGAGTCTAAGGGGCGCTTTCATTCATTACAGATGTTTACTGTATGGACTCTGCTTTCGCACACAGCACCACTCCCCCACGAGGGCGACCTAGTCAGTCATTCCACTATTGCTGTGCCCCATTGATTAGCACCGTTCCACCAAGTTTCCGGCATTCCTATCCTCATTTCATGCCAGCTGTTCTAGGTCACCCGTCTTCATAGTTCAACGGCCTGTATTTCTAGAGAAGCACTTGTACATTTTGTCAATATTCAGCTGCTTGCCTTCCTGTGTTAGATTTACATGAGACTCTTGTATGTTTGACTGTTCCTCACTAGCTCCTCCCTGGACTTTACCCATTTCTTTCCTGTCCTCTTTTCCAGGATATAGAGTTCTCCCTTCAATGATTTCACCCCTACGGGATGCGTCTGCCTGAACTGTGCGTTCCTCCACCTGGCTTCGTTTAGAAAACCCTCTCTGACCTTTGTAGCTACACACGCCAGCAGTTTGGCTCCACCTGGGTTTAGCGGGAGCCCATCCTTCCTGCCTAGGTTCCTCCCTTCCCAAAAGGCTGGGGGGTGAGCAAGCCAGGTCTCCATTTCCAGCGCGGCATGGCACGGGGCTGGGTGCTAGCACCATACTGTGGACAGTGGGGGGGCAGCAGGGATGGGGAGCCCTACCTTCTCAGTCTCCCGGCTGCACTTGATGATGAAGATGTTGGCGTAGATGTCCTCTACGCACATCCAGTTGGAGAGGGACAGGGTGGTGTCAGTCCAGACCCAGTCCATCACGGCCCGCAGCTCCACCAGGAAGGGCACCAGGCGAAACCTGCCACGGGCGAGGGGAGAGCGAGCAGTCACTGGCTGCACCCTGGGGGGAGCCAGCTGTCCTCTGTCCACCCTGAGTGTCCCCCTCCCCCAGGATCCCCTGCTCAGGGGCAGCCCTGAGGCCCTGGGCACATGCCAGACTGAGCCCTCCCGCTCTGCCTCCCCCAGGGTCCTGGGAAGCACCACTTGGATTCAGGACCCTTCTTTACTCCTGTCCCTGGCATTGGTGCTATACAGTCCCTGCACACACTCCTGGGGAGCGAGGCTCAGAGACAAGGGGGCCAGGGTGGAGCTCACCCCCGTGAAGATCAGAGGGCAGATCCGTTACCCTTGGAAGAGGAAGAGGTTGAGGTGGTTGTATTTCTTGGTCAGGAAGTTGCCCAGGATGCGAGTCGGGTAGCCACAGCGGATCTGATAGGCTGACAGAGCGAAATAGATGCACTTCACGAAGTACCACAGCTGGGCTACTGTGTTCAGACTGAACATCCTGCAGGGGCAGAGACGGGGGGAGAGAAGTCAAAGAGATGGGGAGGCCGGCAGGCGTCTGGGCAATTTGTGCATCACTACAATTCTCGGCTCCCACCTGGCTGGGCCAGACCCCACGCAGCCTGCGCATGAAGGGGCTGTGTAATTAACAATTCGTACCGAGCGTGCACTTCCTGTCTGCAGACGCTCACCGATCTATCTGCACCCCCAGGGGAAGAGCAGGGTTATCCCTGCAGGAAATGACCTGCCCACAAAAACCAATGGCAAGATGGGAACAGAACCCAGGTGTCCTGACTCCCTAGAACCTCCCTTGGACCATAGGGCCACCCTTCCATCTGGAACGACGAGGGGCTGGGCTGGGATACTCTGGGAGCAGAGCACTGCGCAGTGCCCTCGTCTTCCATTCCACCAGACCTGGGCTGGAGCGAATGAGGTGCCCGACGGCGGCCCCAGCTCCCCGCGGCCACAGTACCTTTCGGTGACTGCGGGCAGGATGAAGAACATCCAGAGGTGGATGCCGAAGACCAGGATGACCTGGAAGATGAGCTTGCCCAGCACGGTCTTGCGGAGGTAGAGGGCGCGGTCGATGACCATGGTGGAGAACTGGATGAGCAGCATGACCAGGAAGGCCTCCGGCACCTGGTCGTCCGACAGCGAGGAGGTGATGTCGGCAGCGGCCGAGTGTTTCTGGGAGAAGCCAGAGAGACAGGCCATTACGGGGCACAACGCCTGGCCCTGGGCCCAGCTAGGTAGCCCGGGCTCCAGCCCTGCAAGGAGGCTGGAGCAGGTTAGCAGGGCGGGTGTCTGGCTCGGAGCAGTGGGCACTGCAGGTCCCTAGGGGAGCGGCCAGCCCAGCAGCCCAGCCCTGGGGCCCGGCTTACCCCAAAGGCCCAGAAGCCGAAGATGATGATGATGAAGTCGACCACGTCTGCCAGGAACATGAGGGCGTAGACATCAGTAGCAGCCTGATACTTGGTGTTCAGGATGGCGCAGAAAAAGCCCCTCAGTGGCCGATACATGTTCTGTGCCCTGAAAGTAGGTGAGGAACTCAGGCCAGGGCACCCCCGGGCAGCCAAGGGGCAGGGCCCCCCCCAGGGCCCACCATCCGCCATCAAGCAAATCAAATGTTTGGTTGATAGAAATGGGCATCTCTTCCCCTCCCGCACCTGACAAATCTGATGGGGATGGGGGGTAGCAGGGGTGGGGAGCCAGGGTGTGCGGTGGTGGTGGGCTCAGAGGCTGGCCTGACCTCGCTGACCCTCCAGGCTGAGGGTTGGGGTCACTTACACAGCTAGGAAGAAGAGCTTGACTCTGAGCCCAGCAGCCTTCAGCTTCTCCCAGGCTGGGCTCTGCTTCTTCTCTTCCTTTTCCTTCTCTTCTTCCTCCTCTGCCATTCAAAAATCAAGGGTTAGCCCCCAGCATGCCCAGCCCGAGTGGGCTGGGGGCAGCGAGCACGTGGGCTTCTGCCCGTCGGATGGGTGGGGTAGGAGAGCACCCTGCTCTGCACGGCCCCAGAGTGGCACAGACAGGCACCCCCCAGCCTTCTCTGGCAGCGGGTCCCCACAGTGCCAGGGTTTCTAAGGGAGATCCCAGCAGAATGGCCCAGCAACCCTGCCAGGGTCCTTAGTGCCCGCCCAGTGGGGAATGTGTTCACACCACCAGGAATCCCCCGCCCATGTACCTGACACTGCTGCCGTTGCCTTCCACTTCTTGGTCCACCTCCTCTTCTCCTTCTTCTTCCGGAAGCGCAGGTGGCTCCCCTTCTCCCCCTCCCCAGCCCCCTTCTCCTGGAGCTGGGGCTCCAGCTCTGCTGACACCACCTCTGCCTCTGCACCGTCCCCCGAGTCCAGCTCGCACTGCTTCTCCTCCTCCGCCCGCTCGGCCTCACGCTTCTCCTCCTCCGCCCGCTCGGCCTCGCGCTTCTCCTCCTCCGCCCGCTCGGCCTCGCGCTTCTCCTCCTCCGCCCGCTCGGCCTCGCGCTTCTCCTCCTCCGCCCGCTCGGCCTCGCGCTTCTCCTCCTCCGCCCGCTCGGCCTCGCGCTTCTCCTCCTCCGCCCGCTCGGCCTCGCGCTTCCACTTGGCGAAGGCATCCTCCTTGTGATCCCACAGGCCATAACACTGCCGGGGAGAGGGGCACCCAGGATCAGTGCCAGCTGTCTGGGGATGGGTGACTGGGGGTCGGGATCAGGGCACTGCGGTGTCCAGCCTAAAGCGTGGCATGGCATGTTCGGCTGTGCTATCCCGCACCGCAGCGCCTCCCAGGCTTTGAAAGCGGAGCCCCACTCCCATGAAACAAGACCCGCTGCAACCCCTGTGTGTTGTCAGAGGCCCAGGCACCAGGATGTAAACATCTTTCCCAGCTAGCGCTGGGCCCCACTTGCCCCTATCATTCTGCAGAGCCTGACCCTCCCCCTTCCTTCCCAAATCACTAACAACTTAAGGTACCACCGTTGGCACCTACTGAAACCCGGGGGGGGGGGGTGACACCCCCATCCAAGCAACTGTCTCCAGCGCCCTGACTTCAGGCAGACTTGCTGTACGGGTTACATTGGCCTCACCGCCCGAAGACGGCCGGAACCACGAGTGACTGATTTCCGTGCCGAGACGCCGGGGAGCCATTCAGAGGCTCTCTGTGCCCCCAGCTGGTCCTATGCCCCCAGGGGTGTACCCCTAGCTTTGGGAAAGGCTGCCACCCCAAATTCCAGCACCCCACCTCTGCTACCATACTTCCTGGAGCTTCCAAGGTAACAGCACTGCTGGCACATGGTGGACCCAGGGCTTGGGCCATCCCCCTGCCTGGGGCAGTGAGCCTCAAGGCCTGGCTCCCAAGAACTCAGGCAGGTCGCCCCACGGCATTTCAGTCACAAGTCGCATACACCGGCTGCAACGTCTTACCAGCAGGAGGGAGCGGTGGAAAAACAGAGCCATGAGCTGGACAAGGTCAAACTTGAGGTAGTGGTCGGTCTTCTCCAGGCCCAGGATGCGCGGCGGGAAGAAGGGCTTGGCCTCGTTCCGCACCAGTGAGGAGTAGCTGTTCCAAGGAAAGAACCCGAACTGGAAGAGGTATTTCACCACCACTACCACCTGCGGAGGGGAGAGGGGGTCAGCGGGGAGCCCAGGTGGGAGTGCTCCGACCCCAGAGCTCAGCCATATGCCTCACCCCGCCGTGCAACCAGGCAGGACGCGGGGCCCAGCATGCCCCACCCCAGCCCGCCGGGGGGCAGAGTGAAGGCTGGCTTCCTTGCTGGCACATGGCAGCGCCTGCGTTTCTGTCGCACAGGAGCCAGCCTGGAGAGGGCACCCACCTCGGTGAAGATGATGGCCGTCATCCAGAAGCGCTTGCTGGGCCGTGGGATGGAGAGCATGGCCCACAGGAAGACCAGGATGGGCAGGAAGAGGGAGATGACGGAAGCCGTCACCATGTTGTTGAGGATGATGATGAAGTAGCAGAGTAGCTCGGAATGGGCAGCCACGAAGTGGTACAGGGCCAGCAGCAGCTTGAGGAAGCGGTTCTGGGACAGGTAGAACTGCTCAGACTCCTCCAGCTCCTGGAAGATCACCTGCCTGGGAAGCACAGAGCCAAACGTGGGCTGATCCTCCTGCCTGCGGGATCAGGGGATACGCTTGGTACGCCCAGTGTCGCCCTCTAGTGGCTGAGCCCTGGGACAGATAAGGGACCTGCTCTGCTACCAGCTAAGGGAAACCCTCTCTAGCTCCACTGGCAGAGGCCTGTGTTTGGGGTGCTGCGCTCCCCTGTTTGTGTCCTGCCTCCCTGGAGGGAGTGTCATTTACACAGGAGCTGGGTCTTCTACGTCCACAGGCCTGCTCTGTCCTGCCGAGGGAAAAGACAGGCTGGGAGCCTAGCAACGCCTTCCCCAGGGATCCCCCCACTCCCCAGCACCTGCCGCCCTTTCTCTGCCCGTCTTTTGGCTCAGGCAAGCTGCATGGGACTCCAGGAAGCCAGAGCAGTCCAAGGGCTCCCCTTCTCCCGGGGCTGCACACACAGCCACTCGCCCGTGGCCTGGCTGAGTTACTGGGAGATCAACGCCCAGATTGAACCGGGTCTCTCACCTCCGTGTGCGGAGCACCGAGCCCCAGGGCTACTGCCCGGAGCTGCTGCCCGTGGGGGCTGGCTGAGCAGCCATGGAGCAGCGACGCAGACACACATCTGCGACTAGAGGCCACCATGCACACCGTGAAACTAACGAGCACATCCCAGTGGCTGCTGCAGGCTTCTGAGGTCACGTCCTTCCTAGCCAGAGCCATGCTAATTTGCATGGCTTTCCCACAATGCTTTGCCTCTCACTCTGAGCCGTCCACTACCTGTTGGAGAGCAGCTCACTGGCCGTCCGGGTCCGGTTTCTGGGATACACCAGGAGCTCCTGAGACCCCTGGATCCGCTCCACATCCTCCTGGGAGCCCATCTGCTCCTCGCTGTGGTAGCCGGTTGTCACGGGGGAGGTGGTGTCGTTAGTGACCTCAGCCCCACTGCTGAGAAGGTCTCCTCCTTCGCACCCACTGGGAGGGCAACAAGCACAGGGTCAGGCTCTCCCCGAGCAGCCAGGGCTTGCATCGGGGGAAGCACCGCTGCCCCCCGGCCTGGGCGATGCTGGGGTTCAGAGGTGGGCATGGCAGGGTTGGCGTGGCGTGGCTGAGGGGAGAGCACAGGTGGCAGGAGGGGAGGAGCAGCAGTCCCGGCTGCCACAGGGAGGGATCACTTGGGGGGCAGAGAGGTGGCAGAAGAGGGCACCAGACTGCAGAGAAGGAAGCAGAGTAACCCGGCTCCGGGCCGAGCTGCCCCTGCCCAGGTCCCCTAGGCCATCTATGCACCTGCCTTGAAGCCATGCTGTTGCGAGAGCCCACGGCGACGGCCGCCTGCAGGCCCATCTCGTCGCCCAGCGCCGGCTGGTACAGGTCGTCCAGGACCCCGCTGTGCACCTCGTCTCCCTGCCAGGGGAACCGCAGCGTCACCCAGCGCCCCTCGGCCTGGCGCCTGCAGCGCTCCTCCCCCCCGCCCACACCTACCTGGCACAGCTTCTGGGTGAGGACGTATCTCTCCACCCACAGGACGGTGGACATGTCCCTGTGCTCCTTGGTGAAGGTGTGGAGCCACTGGGTGAGCCCGTCCACCGTGGCCTGGCACAGCACCCATAGGAAACGCACCACGTTCAGCGCCCGCTGCATTGTGTTGCTCCTCTCTGCGGGGACGGGGAGGGGGAAGCTGCTTTCTGGAACCGCGGCACCCAGCTCGGGGAGGGGCCCCTGTCCACCCAGAGGTCAGGGAGGGTCCGGGCTGGTCTCCCCCATGGCTCACGCAGCGCCTGGCTGCTCTCACAAGGGCCTGGCAGCACCTGGTGCCTGACTGAGCCCCCCGCGCCCAGGCCAGAGCAGGGTCCAGTCTGGCAGCCCCCTCCCCCCCCGCCTCCTGTCAACCCCCTTGGGGCGTGGCTATGCTGCCCTGCTGGCTGTGGGCACGACCCCTCCCCGGGCCCTGCGGGGAGCAGGGCAGGTCATCCCCAGGGGGAGCGATCTCCGGCAGATCCCACGCTCGGTGTGCGGGGGAGGGAGTGGGGCCTGGCACAGGGCGGGAGGCAATCAGGGCTATGGGGGGCCCGTGCCATGGGGGACGCAAACCCCTAGAACTCCCCATCTCCCACCTGTGTCCTCTTCCTCCTCTTGGTCCTCAGGCTCTTCAGGTGCGTCGGCCTCACAGACGTCTCCGTCTCCGCCGTCCCCTGCACGGCAGGGTGGGTTACACCCCCGAAACCAGCTGCCCGCCCAGCCTGCCGTCTCCAGACGCTCACGCGCAGCCTCCGTGGGGCTGGTCGTCATTGCCCCCTCGGGCTGGCCCGCGACAAGGCTCCTATGGGGCCTGTGGGCACTGGGCGGGGAGCTGGGCCCCTCTCCAGCAAGGATCGCCACATCCCTCCTGGGGCGGGGAATGGGGCCACAGAGAGGAGGGGGAAAGGACAGGGAGGGGAATGGAGCCATTGGGATCAGGGGGAAGGACACCCCTTCTCCACGTGGGGCTGGGATGCTGCTGGCCTCCCCAGCTGTGACGTCGCCTCTGTCACGCTCTCCCCTCCAACGGACAGGACGCGCCCAGCCAGGGCTCCTCCCAGCTTGGGCAGGGACACGCTGCGAGCCCAGGGGGCTCCCTGCCGCCATCTATCTCAGCCAGGGCGAGCCAGGCAAGGGGCAGAGGAGGGCAAGCCAGTCCCACCTGCTGGCAACTCAGCGTCCTCCCGGTCCTGCTGCTGCCGCTCCTTCAGCACAGACTTGGCATTGGTCACCCAGGCTTGATACGCCAGCTGGAGCCGAGAGACAAGGTGCAGAGCTCAGTGTCCGGCAGCCGCCAGCCCCACCACGCCAGCCCTGCCCAGGACCAACCTGCCCCGCTGCCCCTCCTGGTGAGCAGAGGGCAGACAGGCAGCTGGGGGGTGGTTCCTGCCCAGAGATTTGTGCCAAAGTATCACCGGGCTCCACAAGCTATCCAGGGTGCCCTCCTGGCACTGGAGTCTGGTCCCGTCTATCCCCGGGGACGGCACCAAGGGAGCCCAGGGGCCATCACTGCAGCCTGGCCGAGGAGGGCGAAAGAGGATGCGGGATGGAGACGGCCAGCACGGTGGGGAGAGCTGGGGGCAGGGGCGAGACAGATGGCTAAGTACAGGGATAGGTGGCCAGAATGCAGATGGATGGACGGACAGATGGGCAGAGCAGACAGACGGACACGTAGCTGCCCGGCTCCAGCAGGGCCGGCTGGGGGCTGCCCTTACCTGGAATGCACTCTGCTTGGCTGGCTTCTGCTCCTCCAAGCTGGCCTCCTCCTCCTCCTCGCTGTCCGACTCGAAGAGGAAATACTCACCTGAGTGCAGGACTGCAGGGAGCCGGGGGGAGACAACACACAACAGCCGGTGTCATGGAGGGACCTGCAGAGGACGCAGCCCAGGAGGGAAGGTTCCTGCCCCCACCCCCTTGACTCCTGGCGGAGGGGAATGGCACTCAGGCTAGGCCCCACCGCACTGACGGGTCTGTGGGGTTTGACCAGCACAGTTCAGGATAAGGTGAAGTCAGGCCTACAGCCCCGGGGGCAGAGCCAACCTGGAGGCTGCCCTGAGTGTGGTGAATCTCAGGACTTCATTAGTTCAACCCAGCGAGCAGTCGCTTACCCTCCAGTCACGGTGCTCCTCCCGGCGGGCTCCCCACGGACTCCACTCTCGCTGCGCGTGAGACCTGCGCCTGGCCGTGGGGCCCTGCCTGCGCCCTACACGTCCTCACACCCCCACCCGAGGGCACTAAGGGAGCCCAATCCCCCAGTTCCTTCCCCGGGACCCCAGAGGAGCAGTGGGGAAAGCGGGCAGGGCGAGGAAGCCACATGGACAACCCAGCTCGAGGAACCACCCTTGCTGCAGGGTCAGGAACCATCCTCTCCGGGTGGCTGGCCAGCTGGCTCCTGCTCCTGATGGCTCCCAAGCATGGAGGTGGGTAGGAATTCACCAGCAGGATGGCCCTGCCAAAATGGGCCTCCCATCCAGACACCTCTGCTAACGAGCAGTATCTTGGAGGGGGAAGCCCGAGGTCTGCGAGGCTGCCCTGCCTTTGAGAAATGGGGACATTCTTCAGGCAGGACCCAGAGGCTGCCTCAGTTCCAGAGGAACGAGCGCTACCGTGGCGTTTTGGATCCAACATGGTTAGCTCCTACCATGTCTTCACCGGTGGAGAACGGCTAGGAGGTGTCCATGGCCCCTGGTCTCTATCAGCAAAGGCCAAGTTCAGCATGGGGGTATCCCGGAATCATTCTGTTCTGCTGGCATGACGCGCCAAGCTCCCTGTGAGGTCTCTTCCTGCTACCTCTCATGGACTCCTCTTCCACCGTGCCACCGAGGGTGGGAGGGTGGGAGCTGAGCCCTGCTCTGCCCAGCACAGGAGGAGGAAGAGGACTTTACTTCCTCCTAGGGAGGGACCCGTCTATCAGGCCGTGGTGGAGGAGAAGAGAGTACAAGGGACACCTCCCTTACCCTGGCGTACCGACATCTCTGACACTGACAGTTTGGATAGGCAGCTTTGGAGGGAGAGGTGATGGCTACTTGGCCCACAGATAAAGCACTCAGCACCAGCTAGGTGCCAGGAGAGCTGGTGCCATGGTGCCAGGTCCCAGAGATGGTTCCCAGGCAATCAAGACAGGGCTGGATGGCACGGTGGTCTGAGTACTGATGCCCGTGGGGCCGGGGGCTGGTAGCAAGAGTGACAGGGACTGCTGTGCTCTTGGAGGTCAGTCCTAGGCACCAGGCGCAGGGTTTCCAGCCTCTGGCCCTTTACACGCAGAGCCTGAGACGAGTCACAGGTCTGTCATCTTGCGGCTCGACCTGCTGGCCATGGAGATGGCGCCCGTGCATTGGCTGTGCCCTGGAGCAACACTGCTTCCAGCCCCGGTCACACGATGTCGACGCTGGGGTGGTGGCGGGCAAACAGGGCTTTGAGCAAATGCGGCCTGGGAGCTGGGCGTGGACTCTGGGGCACTGGATCGAGAGACGGTGCTCTGGATGAGCCCCTCCTGGAGCTGGGGGAGGCTGGATCCAATCTCTCGAGGAGGGACAGCTCCAGGCAGGCGTCCCTCGCACCATGAGCACTTGGAGAAAGAGCAATGGGCGGCACGTCCCTCTGGGCCGCGTCCCTCTCGTACGTGGGCCAGGCACTGCGGGGCCAGCACGAACAGGCTTGGGAGTGTGCCACAGGGCAGCAGCCTCAAACCCCCGAGATTTCGCTTGTGCCATGTGGCTAGTGCCATGTTCCGAGCCTACCTGAACCTTGGCGAAGACATAAATATACACACAGCTACTCTGCCGAGAGGCGATCAACTAATGGCCTACACAGCACCGGCATGGTGTGCAGAGGGACGGTGGACACTGCACTGGTCTGTCCTGCGGCCCCGGGGGGTCAGAAGGAACCGAGGGGCGGTTGGGTCGGCTCCGTGCACTTTATGCCCTTGGGCGGAGGGTTGGGGGTGGACACCTAGGGCACAGGCACAGGCCCTGTACACACTGACGGCCAAAGAATCTGATCTCATGCACCCACGCACCAAGAGTGGAGTCCCCGAAGAGCCGCCGAGCGCTCAAACAGCTGCATCCCAATCAGCCCTGGAGCCCGCGGGTAGCACCCTGGGGCGCAGTGCTCACAGAGCACCCTGGCACCTCTACGGCCAGGCACTCGGGGATTTTCTGGGGCCATGTGCCAGCTTGCACCAGTGACTCGCCCCAGGAGGAACTGGTGCGCACGAGCAGCTGAATGGCACACGCCTCTGTAGGCAGGGCCCATGTGAATGCTCCGGGGAAGCCATTCTGCTCACGGAACTGAGCCTTGCCTCGGTTTAAGCCTGGAGCCTGGAGTTTGTCCCGGGACTTGCCTACAAACGGGCTCCAATGGACACCGAGGATTTGTCCCTGCGCCCCTCACTGGATTAGTACCGACAAGCACAGAAACACCAGGTTAGCGCCCCAGGGTGGGGTGGGACGCAGAGGGGAAGGGAGCCGGGCTCGGGGCCATGCAGGACAGGACAGACCGCCAGCACCGGTGCCAGCCACGAGGAAGGCAGCTCTGGAGCTGCTGCCCCAGGGCTGCAGAGGGGACGGGCAGCTGGCTGGGGATCGGCCCTGCCCCTGCTGCAGCCCCCCACAGGCGTCAGTGACTCGCCACCAGAAGGGTTAGAGCCGAGGGCAGTCGCCCGTGTTAGTGCTCCATGCTGGGGCGGGGGGAGTACCTGCGGCATGGTCTAACCAGGGCCGCCACCAACTCTTCCTCTGCCGGGAAGGGTCCTTCTCGCCACTTGGCTCTGCGGAACGGGCACATCGGAGGGTGAGGACCCCGTCAGCCGGGGCAGGACGCCTGCTGGCTGCACCAGCTTGCACCCAGCCACCCTGCCCCACGGCAGCCAAGACCACCTCAAAGATCTCGGCCTGGGGCAGGGCACATGAGGCGAGGTGACGGGCCACACCCAAAGCACTGGGTGGAAATGAACACGCCCAGTATGCCCGAGCCAGCCCCTGAGGCTACTTGGGGGCGAGTGAGGCAGGGAGGGAGGATCCCTAGCTTGCTCACACTCTTCACAGCACAGCCGTGGCCCCAGCAGCTCCCAGGCCGGCAAAGGAACTAGTGCTGCTGTGGGGGCCTGAAACCAGCCGTACCCCAGGGGTGGCACCATCTGAGGGCAAACAACCTCGCTGCACTGATAAGGGAGGGTCTGGGGGAGAACGGGGACGGATGCGAGGCTTCCCGGGGCAGGGGAATGACAGACACACATGGGAGGGAGGGACAGACAGAGGTTTCTGCTCAGCGTGGGGGATTAGGGGCCACCTGGGCTAAGGCTCTCCAGGGTACCGGGTGTGGGGCGCACAGCCCCACCGCATGCACCCCGGGTCCCCAAAAGCCACTGCCAGTTCCCTCCTGCCCTACAGCCCGTCCTACCCAGCCAGGCTCCCACTGGAATACCAGCCCGGTGATGGGCACTGGGTGCACAGGACTCCCTGGGGGTGGCAGCAGAAGCTAGCTCTGCCACTCCTATGGTGCCAGGCTGCGCCCCCCCACCCCCCCTCACCTGGTTGGTCCTCATCCGGGGCCTCGGCAGAGTCGCTGGGGTGTTGCCCCATGTGGTACTTCTCCTGCTTTGCCCGGATCCTCTCCATCCTGCAGCCACAAACACAGAGCAGCTGCGGGCGTTGTCGCTGTCCGTCTCCCCACTCCGGCCTTCTGTCTGATCACAGCCTGGGCCTGGAACCCCCCTTGCCCGCTGTGGAGTCCCCCAGCATGCAGCGGCCCCAGCCAAGGGTACAGGAGACCTTCTCCTTGCCCAGTTCCTCCCCTGCCCCCAGCTGGAGGGTCCATCTCCCCCCACGGAGCCGGGCGGCTAGCCTCCACTCCCCAGGCCCCCGTTTCCAGAGGGGCTGTGGGCAGCGAGAACCCCCAGCCTGGGACCCGCCCTCTCTGCTGACTCACTGTCGCTTGAGCTGGGCTAGTGACTTCTCCTCGGTCTGCCGGTGGGAACTCATGCTCTTCAGGGTGCTGGCCTTGTACAGCGCGAATCCTCTGCAGAGACACCACGGGGCAGTGAGCCATGGCACGCCCCCCCGCACACTGCCCCCTGCCCGGGCACTCCAGGCACCTGCTCCAGAGAACGGCGAGACAACCTCCGCCCCCGGGGCACTGCGCCCAGAGCTTGGGGCACAAGGGATCAAGAGGCACCTCCAGCCTCCCCTGGGGCCCCAGAGAGCCAGGCTCTCCAGCCCCTCCTGGCCTCTCGGATGGGGGCCTCCAGCACAGGGGCCCAGGGACCCACAGGAACTAGGGCCTCCAGTCCCTGGTGCTCCATGGGAGCTGGGGGCTGTGGGAAATGCAGCCTGCAGCCTCTGCAGGGGGCACAAGCAGGAAATGCCACCTCCATGCCCCGTCTGGTTCTCAGAGCACAGGCTGGGCCGGGGGCAGAAGCGCCTCACAGGGAGATCCCTCTCCCCATGCCCCTGCAGTGAGTGGGCTCCCCGCCTGCCCCACCAGCACGCATCCCCTGGCCGTGCCGCCCCCACCTGGAGGCCTGCAGGGCCGAGGCCTGGAGCTCCGTCATGACATGCAGGAAATAGTAACTGAGGAAGACTCTGCGCTGAAGGAGGAGGAAGAAGAAGCAGATGCTGTCCCAGATGATGCCAGCCTCCTCTATGGGCAGCGAGCAGTCCTGGTCCTTGCCCATCTCCTTGGCTGGCAAAGCAGAGAGACAGGAGCGTTCAGGGCACAAGGCAAAGCCCAGCAACCGCAAGGCAAACAGCAACGCGAGGCTAGGCCGGACTCCATCCCTGGCACTAGGGCTATGTCTACACAGCACACGAACCCAGGTCCTGACTCGGGTTTGAGCCCACACCCCTCTTCCGTCCACACACAGATCTGTCTGACTTGGGTCACAAGCACTCAGGAACCCGGTCCTTGGACCCTGCTGTGGGGAGGGTCACAGCCTGAGTCCTGTTGTGATTGAGGGCCAAGCCCCGTCGCTGTGCAGTGTAGACACAGCTCAAACCGCAGACCCAGCTCAGAAGGGCTGCACAGCGCAGTGTGGATGTGCTAACACGGCTGAGAGACCCAGGTTCAGCACCTGTAAGTCCAGGTTTACAGTGCAGTGTGGACACTCCAGGGTGGGCTTGAAAACCCCGAGTCTACAATGCAGTGTAGACACATCCTTGGAGATCCTGGGCCTCAACCCCCACACTGCAGGCATCAAAATCTCCGGGACTCAGCCCCCACCTTCTGGGCACTGGGAGACCCCAGGCTCCCTTCCCACAGTTCTGGGCCCCCCACTTACAACCCCACAACACCCTGAGCCTCAGCCCCTCCCAGCCTCTTGACCTTGGGGCGACCCCAGGCCCCAATGGGCCAGACCCTCACTTCCAGCCCCCTGGTACTGGGATAGGCCCATGGTCCAAGTCCTGGCATACAGCAGTGGGGTGTGAGAGAGCAGTGGGGCTAGTATGAAGCCTCTGCTCCCCCCCAGAGATACTGTCCAAGCCAAGACAGAGGCGGAGATGTCTGTGGCTGTGCCCAGGGTGCCCACGCTAACCCTGCCAGCGCGGCCTGCCCGCGGGTGAGCTCTGCCCAGCAGAGGGATACTCACGGTCATAGTAGCCCTTGACGGTACAAACCAGGCTGAAGAGCTGGATCACCCAGCAGAAATTACTTTGCATCTGCTGCACGAAGACGCAGGAGAGGAGCTGCCGGGACAGAGTGGGGGAGGGGGTCAGACCCCCTCGCTGGGCAAACAGCATGGGACTATTCCCCTCCCCACACGCTGCCTGCCTGGGCCCCTGCCACTCTGCTCCGCACCACCCTTTGTCTAAAGGAAATGCATGCCCAGCCCGGCCCCTGCCAGGGCTTCCGAAAGCACAGGTAGAAGGCCCCTACGGAGGAGGGGGCTCCCACAGGGGCGCGTGAACCATGCCCAACCCATCCAGCCCCAGGGGCACATGGGGGTCTGAATTCTGCACGGACAAGAAAGGCAGAGCCCCCTCTCGCCCACCCAGCCCTGGCTCCGTGGGGCCAGTGGAGCAGCTAATGGGCAGATCGCCCAGGAGGAAAGGTGTCAGGGCAAGGCACAGAGTGGAACTGGGGCTGCATGGGGGGTGCTAAGAGGGTGCTCCCTCCGGCTCTGGCCAACCCAGCAGCGCCCCTACCCCCCAGGCCCTGCCAGGGCTCGCCCAGCCGGGCCCGGTGCCCACTGCCAGCGGGGCGTCGGCGGGGGCAGGTGCTCACCGACAGCATGTTCTTGGAGATGATGACGGTGACGTTGTAGAGGATGAGGCAGTCCCAGAGCACCAGCCGGGCCTTGGCCGGCTTGCGCAGCATGGCCGTGCCGAAGAGCAGCAGGTAGAAGCAGGCCAGCAGGTAGCCCAGGCCGAAGATGCTGATGCGGGTGGCACCGGTGATGAAGACCACGACCAGGACGAACCAGAAGAGGTAACGGAACACCACCACCTTCAGCATGTCCAGGTACGACCTGCAGCCGGGGCAGCTGGCTCAGAGCAGCGCTGACAGCCCTGGTCCCGCGGGGCCCTCCCACCCCATCCCTGCGGCACAGCGGGCAGCTCGGTCCTGGGCCGCTGGGGGTCTCGGTAGCAGGACAACCCTTCCCCAAGGAGCAGAGCAAGAGGCTCCACAGGTCACCAGATGGTCTGCATGCCTCATCCCCGCCCGTGGGCCTCCACTGGAATCCAGTCAGAGCAATGTCCTGCTCCCCTGAGCCAGGGCCCCCCAGCCTGTGGGTCCCGAGCCCCCCTGCCCACTGCTTTCGAGGGAGCGGGCCCTGCACCATCCGGGTGCTTCCACACAGCCCCAGGTGAGCTGGGAGTCGCCCAGGCCAGGCCAGACCCCGCTCCCAGCGCGGCCCCGCGGAGCTCCCTACCTGCAGTTGATGAAGTTGGGCACCGGGTTGGGTCTGCCCCTCGCCAGCTCCAGCAGGTCTGTGTTCTCCCCGGCCGCCATCAGCCACTCCTCCGTCCGCTCGGCTGCAAAGACCTGCCACTGCTGGGAGGCGCAGAGCAGGAGCAGGAAGTCACCTGCAGGGAGAGAGAGACAAAGGGACCCCACCTTGCCGCCACCATGGGCGCCTTGGAGAATGAGCTGGGTGGACCCCAGCCAGGCCCCTCCTCCTTCCACCAAAGGGGGTGGACCCCAGCTGGTCCCCTCCTCCAAGGGGGCAGACCCCAGGCAGGCTCTGCCCCCTGCCTGGGAGGCACAGCTAGTTCTCACCTCCAAGGAAGCTGCTCCCCGGGACATGCCCAGAGGTGTGAAGCGCATGGTGAATACCCAGCTGGCCAGGTCATGGGGCCAGTGGGCGAGGCTGGCCGATAAGCTCCTCTGTCTAGCAGGGGGGCTATGCACGGGGAGAGTCAGGCCTGTGGGATTCCCCTGGGGAAGGACGCTGGCAACCAAGACTCTGCTCCCAAGGCCTGGAACGAGGCATGTCCAAGCGTGGGAACACGCGCCGCCCAGAAGCCAGTGCACTGCTTTGTGGCTGGCGGGTGGACAGACAGACGGGAAGAAGGAGGCACCAGTCCCGTGGGGAGCAGGGAGCAGCGGTGCCGCGGGAGCCAGGGGGTGAGGACGGGTACTCACTGATGAGGTTGGTGGAGTTGGGCGCCATGTAGAAGTCGGGCAGGTACATCCATTTGATGAGAGCCGAGTTCATGGGGATGGAGTGGCTCCACCTCCAGGGATAGTCTGCCAAGGAGAGGAGAGGTCACCGGGGGAGGGCGGCACACGTGCCCCCCCCCCATGCCCATAGGTCTGCTCCCAGGCCTGCTACAGAGATGTGGGTTCGATAACACACAAGCCTCAATGTTCCCCTCAGCTACTCCCAAGACCTTGCCCATGCAGAGATCTGGGGGGTTGGGGGTGGGAAAAAGGGGGTTCTTAGCCATGCAGAGATCGGGGGGAGGAGGTCCCTGCCTGTGGACAGGTTGGGGGGGAGGAAGGGGGTCCCTGCCCATGCAGAGATCTGGGAGGGTGGGAAGAAAGGGGGTTCTTAGCCATGCAGAGATCGGGGGGAGGAGGTCCCTGCCTGTGGACAGGTTGGGGGGGAGGAAGGGGGTCCCTGCCCATGCAGAGATCTGGGAGGGTGGGAAGAAAGGGGGTTCTTAGCCATGCAGAGATCTGGGGGTGGGGGGATATCTCTGCCTGTGGAGAGGTGTGAGGGGGGAGGGGGTCCCTGCCTGTGCAGAGATTGGGGAGGGGGGAAGGAAGGGGTTTCCTGCCCAGGAAGAGATTTAGGGCCAGGGCTTCCAAACATCCCCTGCTCTCCTGGTCCCGGCCCCTGGGCCTTACCTATGCAGAGGGCGGGGGGGATGCCCACGCACAGCAGGTACTGGTAGAGCAGGAAGAGGGCCAGGAAGAGGCAGTACTTGGGCCAGAGCCTGGCGATGGCAGCACGGCGGCGCCGGGTCAGGATGACGACCAGCCAGCCGCCGTGCAGGATCACCATGAAGTTCATGCGTTGCCCGATCACGGTCACCGTCATGAGGAAGCAGATCTGGGCGGGGGAGACAAGGGGCTGAGCTGCCGGCAATCCCATGCGGGGGGGGCCCTGGCTGGCGCCGCCCACCCCGCACCGAGCCATGAGGAGCCAGCCGAGGGCGAGAAGAACCAGGGTCCCCCTGGGCCCGCAGGGTCCCCCCTCCTGAACTGCACCCTGGGCAGCAGGGCCAGGGAATCACCACCCAGGGGGAGTTCGTTCCCAACAACCGGTGCCCGCCCATGTCCAAAGCCAAGGTCTTGGGGGGTCGTTTGCCTGCCACGCTGGGGTCCTGCTCACAGGGCTGGGGAGCGCCCGCTCCCGTAGACCTGCCCCCCTCAGTGCCAGGGGACGCCCTCAGCCCTGCCCATCTCACCTCCAGCCCAAACTTGTAGTAGAAGTAGTTGACGAAGTATTTGGCGCAGCTGACGAGGCCCCGGTCCAGGTGCTCGCGCGATGCCTCCTCGAAGAGTGTCTGGGTGGCGGGCGGTGCCAGCTGGTACTGCTTGCGGTAATACTCCTGGCGCCGGTACACAATGGCCTCCAAGACGAGCAGCATCAGCACCAGCAGGTGGTTCTGCAGGGGAACGGCCCGGGACGAAGGTGAGTCCCAGCCGGGCGAGGTCTCGGGGCATCGCGGGCAGGATGCTAAGCCGCCATGTCCCAGCCTCCAGCTTGGGGTGGCAGAGAGGCAGGAGGGGTCACCCCGCCAGCTGTGGGTGAGGTGCTGGACTGCCCACGGCCCACATGGATTCACCAGCTCTGCTGCCAACGCTGACCCTGGCGGAGGGGCAGCCGGTTCCCATTTGCACTGGGCCAGCAGCCTGCTGCCTCCAAGGGCTCAAATCCTGCCATGGGCGGAGCTGGGGGGTCTCCGCCCCATGCCCGCTTCGTGGGCATCCCCAGCGGCAGAGCGGGCAGCGAGTCCAGCAGAGAACAGGGGCATGGGGAGAGGGGCTGTGCCCCCGAACGACCCACCTGGATGTAGCCCAGGTTGGGGAAGCCCTTGCGGATGCCGAACCAGTTGGCAGGGTCCACGGGGCCCCGGTAGAGCGTGGAGTTCTTCAGCTCCGCCCCCAGCAGGTTGGTGCCATTCAGCTGAGGCTGCGGAGCAAACACACAAACAAACGTTAGCTGCCAGGGGAGGGACCCAGCCCCCCGGCCGGGGGTCCCCACGATTCTCCATCGGAGGAGGGGCGTCAGACCCTCCGGCTGCCAATCCTTCCCACTGCCTGGCAGCTGCCGTCGTAGGGTGGCAGCACGTCGGGCTGCCCTGCGGGGACAGGCGTGCCGGGAGCCCGCAGGCTGTGGGGGAGCCCCGATCCCCTTCTGGATCCGGTCCCGCCCCTGCCCCCCGCACCTCGGTGCAGTTGCTGGAGTACTCGCGCGGGCCGACGGCCTTCAGCTGGTACAGCATCTTGCAGACGATGATGATGCAGACCCAGACGGTGCAGAGGCAGGAGGCCATGTGGCGGAAACGGCAGTAGGGCAGGGCGAAGGCCCACAGCGCCACCAGCAGGAAGTTCATGACCGACACCTGCAGAGAGCACACGGGAGCAAGGGCAGAGCTGGGGGCGCGGGTCAGGGGGCCCCCAACTCCAGGGGCACCTTCCAGCCTCACCGCGGACGGCCGGGGCCCCCCACTGAGTCGTAGGGCAGCCAAAGGAACCCACGGCTAGCTAGCGGCCCCTCTCCCACCCTGACGCAGCGCTCCCTCCTGCCCCGAGGATCCCCCCCTGCCTATGGGGCCCTCCCCATGGCTGGCAGAGGCAGATTCCCCAGCAGCAGGGTGGGAGCCCTCGAGGGCATTTTCCTTTCTGGTCTCCCGAGCACGCCCGCCCATCCCCGTTACCTCCTGCAGCGCCACCCACACGGTGTAGAGCGCCACCAGCTTGAGGACGTGCAGCTCCAGGAGGCGCCGCACGAAGACCTGCCCGCGGGTGAGGATGTCGGAGAAGGTCCAGCCCAGCACCACCAGGCGCTCCAGCACCAGGCCCCACTTACTGGGCACCGCTGCAAAGCAGGGCAGCTTGTCACGGCCACACCGGTCCCCCACGTGCCGTGCCCTCCCCCGCCCAGCCCCGCCCCCCCGCCAGGCACTTCCCCTCCCCCTTCCCCCACCAGCACCCCCCATGTACCCTGGGCTCCATGTCCCCTCCCCCACCAGCACCCACCCCATGCCCAGCACTCCCCTCCCCTCGGTGCCCTGCCCCTCCCCCAGTAGCCCCCGCCCTTGTGCTCTCCCAATCCGCTTCCCCACCAGCACCCCCCACAGGCCCTGCAACTCCCTGCTCCCTCCCACACCAGTGCCCCCCCACCCCGCAGGCTCCCTCCCCCTTCCCAACATCCCTCCCCCCGGAGAAACGGCCCCTCCCCCACAGTCCCAGCTTACCCCAGTTCACCCTTCCCTCCCCCGCTGGGCTCTGCCCAGCGCCCCGAGCGGCGATTACCTTCCGAGGCTGAGTCGGCGTCCCCGGGGTCAGCCTCCTCCTCCGCGCGGGGCAGCGGGTGGCTCCCCCGCGCCTCCTCGCACCTGCAGCAGGGAGGGAAGGGACGGGGTCTCAGGGGAGGAGCTGAGAGGGGGATCCCCAGGGCCGGGATGCCGGGAGCAGAGGGGCCAGGGGCCCTTGAAGAAGCAGAAGCCGGATCCCAAAGGTGGTGCCCCAAGCAGCTCAGCGCCCGCCAGCGCCAATGCGGGGCCTTGGGGTCAGCGCTCCGAGGGGAGGGCGGCCCTGCTGAGCCACCTGCCCTGCTCCTGCAGCCCCTGGCATCTGGCAGGGCCCCCGGCAGGGCCCTCTGCTGATCCCACGCGCTGCACCAGCCAGCTGGGGCCTTCCGACAGCCCGCCGGGCACAGCCCCGCGTCCGCTCACCCGCCCCAGCGCTCTGCACGGCAGCGTGCCCAGGGCTGGATCCCGAGGCCCAGCTGCAAGAGCAGCTCAGGACAGGGCTAGGCTCGGCTCCAGCGCCCACAGCTGGCCCCTCCCTCGTTCAGGGCAGCAAGGGAGGAGGTTGGGGAGGGACGGCCCAGCCCCACAGCGCAGCCAGCAGCAGGTGCTACCCGAACATGCAGGAGCCCAACGCTGCTCCCTGCCCGGCTGGGAACCAGGCACCGCACACTCCCTTCCTGAACACGTGGGGCAAATGGACAGGGGAGAGGGCGTGGGGCTGCCCAGGGGCAGGGGAGGTTCATCAGGGAAGGGGCTGCACTGCCCCTGCACAGGGAGATACCAGGACCCCACTACCCTCGTGTCAGACCAAGGGGAATGAACGCCAGAGGCAGGGTCCCATGCCAGCCCACCCCCCACCCCAAGCTCATATCCAGGCCTGTCTGCAGAAGGGACCCCTGCTCCCAGCCCAGGGGTCCCAGAGGAGCACCAGGCTGGAGCAGACAGGATGCCCAGAACTGCGCCCTCTCCTTCCAGACACACCTCCTAGAGCCTGCCCCAGCCCCTTTCCCGGCTCCCTGTCCCCACAGACCCTGCTTGGCGTATTTTCCCACTTGCCCCACTGCCGAGCCAAACCCAAGGGCCCAGACTGCGAGCCCTGGCTCATCACGCTGTACTGGGGCACCAGGCAGGCCAGAGAGTAGGCTTGATGGGACTCTGGGTCTACTCAGCAGTCAGGGCCCACAGATGCCCGGCTTAACCCCTCTTGGGAAATCACCTGGCCAGTGACACCAGCCCTGGGTCTACCCAGGCTGCTGCTCCCTCCTCTTTGCAGCCACCCCCCAAGCCGTGTCCCCCCCGTGCTGCTCAGGGCACATCCAGCACCAGGCGGGAAGGGAGCATACCTGGGGGCAGGCGGGCTCCGGGGCTCCGGGAGGGCCACGTGCTCCAGGTCGGTGATGCGCATGAAGGGGCGGTGGAAGTAGTGGAGCTGCAGAATGCAGGCCAGCAGGAAGAAGCCCGGGATGAGGATGCTGGAGAAGAGCTCGGAGACGCTGAACTGCTCCAGGCCCAGGTCGCCCAGCCTGGATGGGAGGAGAGCAGCTGAGGGCCAGGGCGACGGAGCCCCCACCCCGACTCCTGCATCCAACCCCAAACGCTGCTCCCCAGCCGCAGCGAGCAGAGCTGGAGAGCTGCAGCCGGGGCACTGCCCCGGTCCCAGCCTGGTGGGAGAGCAGCTAGTCGAACCAGCTGGAGCCGCCTGTCCCCAGGGGAGCAGAATGGGCATGCTGGCAGAGCACCTGGCGATGCAGGCTGCTACTGACACGGAGATGCCCTGGTCCCGTCCGGTCCCAGCACACGCTCCAGACAGCAGGCTGAGCGCTGGGACCCGGGAACGTCCTCCGTGGGAATCACCTGAGCGGCCACAGAGCGAGCTGGAGTCTGTGCTAGGAGAGGAGGAGGGCTGGGAAACAGGACTCCTAGGTTCTGTCCCTGGCTCTGCCACAGACGGCCTTTGGGGAAGTCCTTGCCCCTCTCTGTGCCTCAGTTTCCCTCTCCATAGACCAGGGGAGGTAACAATCCTGCCATTCCTCTCGGGGGGTGGGGGGGTGTCACTGGGCCAGGCTCTGGAAAGGGCCAGCTCAGCGCCGTGTACTCCGGCCCCACTCCCAGGGAAGACCCTGCCCTGCCGAGGGGATGGGGCGACCCCGCCTGGAGGCTCTGACCCTGGGGCAGGGTTTGAGCACCTAGGAGCTGGAGCAGCCACTGAGCAAAGCTTGGCCTGGAGCGCTGTGCAGGCAGTGGCAGGGCTGGAGGGGGGGGGGCGGCCGCTGGGCGGCCCCCGGGGCGTCACTCACTGCTGGTCGGTGAGGCCGGTCAGGTTGCGCCAGTACATGGGGAAGTCCTCGAACTGGAAGGTGTAGACGGCGATGAGCACCAGCATGGTGTAGGCCACCACCAGCCACCAGAAGCCCTTCAGCAGCTTCCTCCACAGGCTGTAGTAGACCTGCAGGGACCGGAAGCCATAAGCTCCTGGGCCCCCACCTCCCTTGCAGCCCAGACCCCGGCCGCACCCCCAGCTCCCAGCAGGGCTGCCCAGCTTCTCTGTCCTCAGGGTAGGGTGGGTGCCGCGCTCCCTCTCCTGAGCCCATGATCAGCTTGCACCATCACCCCGCCCAGCGCAGCCCTGTCACCCCCCTCGGAGCCTGGCCTGGACCCCCAACGGCTGTGCCAGTTAATTCAATGCCCCTTGCTTTGCCCCACCTGATGGCTGCCACCCGCAGAGTGGCCCAGTCACCCCATGGGGCCTTGGAGGTTTCTTTAAGCCTCGGCACGGAGGGCTGGCCGGGAAGCACCCTACCCAGCAGCCTGGTGCACCTGCCCACCCGACACAGGCGGGTTCCCCATCACAGCTGCAGACAGTGGCCGATCATGGGGATCAGACAGCAAGCGGCTGCCTAGGCTAGCGCCCCATGCAGGGAACATGCCCAGCCTAGGTGCCTCACAGGGCTTGCCAGCCAGCCTCTCCTGCCAGGTGCAGGCCTCACCTGGAAGAGGATGAGGCAGAGGAGGAAGAGGAGCATGTAGACAATCTTATAGACCACCAGGCGCCCGGCGAAGCTGACCACGATGAACATCCCGGCGCACACGTAGATCCAGTACTTGGCGTACAGATCCATCAGCAGCTCGCCCAAGAACTTCAGCATGCTCCGTGGCTGGCCGGGCTCTGCAGGGCACAGCGGGTGAGAGCCGGGGACATGCCAGGCCTGAGCCAGGGAAGCGGCTCCGGGCGACCCAGCATGTACGTTTCCCTGGTGGGCGGCAGGCTCCGGCCCCAGATACGCAGACATCACCCACAGGTGGCACCAGGCATGGTTCCTGGGATCAGAGCCCGCTGGTGCCCGAGATGCCCTGCTCCGTGCCCAGGCAGAGGGGGCCAGCTCCCCAACCCGCTCCCCTCCCCATGGCAAAGCAGTGAGCGTGCCCAGGCTGCTCTGAGCAACACCTGTGAGCCCTGCTACTGTGGGCAGGGGGGCACACAGCTGCCCAGGTCCCGCCACAGTTATATCCGGCCGGACGCAGACCAGCCCCTCATCATCCCGGCACACAGGTCTGCAGTGCCACAACGGCCCCGGCCAGGCACCGGCTGTGCCCGCTCCAGCCCAGGGCACGGTGGAGGGCGCAGCAGCGTCTCCCCGGCCAGCGCGCACTCGCTGCACCTCCTCCTCCGAAGGCTGCCGTGGGCTCCCCGTGGAGGTGGGGGAAGCCGAGGCCCCGGGCAGGACCCGGGGGTGTTTCGGGGTCACCCCGCAGGCTGTGGGGGAGGGGCTCTCACCTGTGTCGGAGACGGTCACCTCCAGCAGCGGGGCGGGCGGGCGCTGGCGTTTCAGCAGCTTCTCCTTCACGAACTGCCGCAGCAGCAGCCAGAAGGGCAGGGTGTAGAGCAGCTGTGGGGAGCAGCGGGAGATCAGCCACGGGCAGAGGAACCAGACGGCCCAAAGGCGGGGAGGGGAGGGGAGCGGAGGGGGGGTTACCTTGGCCCCCAGGTCCAAGCAGGGGTATTTGGTCCTGACCAGCCCCAGCTGCTCCAGACTCATGAAGCCGACGCGGGTGGGCAGCTCGGGCTCCAGGTCCATGCCCCAGACGTACTGCAGGCTGCAGAGCGCCAGCCCGTAGAGCAGGAGGAAGGGGGAGCAGAGCATGGCGAAGTGGTGCCGGCTGCGGACGATCCAGATGAGGCAGGCCCAGAGCAGCAGCACGAAGGTCAGCCAGCTGTGGTAGGTGATGCTCCACACCTGGTGGGGAGAGGAGACTCTGCCCTCAGGCCCTGCACCTGGCTGGTGCATCGCTCCCCATGTTCCATGTAAGCCCAGCCCCCACTGGGACTCAGAGCCCTGATCCGGAGCTGGTGCACCCCCTCCCACACCCCATGTCAGTCCAGCCCCCAAACTGGGGCTCGGAGCCCCAGTACAGAGCTGGCCCCTGCCCACGTCATCCCAGCCCCCCCTGGGGTTCAGCGCTCCGGTCCAGAGCAGGCGTACCCCCTGCCCACGTCAGCCCAGCCCCCACTGGGGTTCAGCACTCCGGTCCGGAGCAGGCGTACCCCCTGCCCATGTCAGCCCAGCCCCCCCTGGGTTCAGCGCTCCGGTCCGGCGCTCCCCCTGCCCAGCCGCTCGGAGCCCTGCCCCAGGCTCACCATCATGGCGATGAGGGCACAGACGTAGCTCTGCTTCATTATCACGTGGCCCAGCGTGTGCAGGGGCAGCCTTTGCCTGCGCCGCTCCGGCTTCTTACTCACTGCCCAGAGAATCGCAGGGACGGTTAGAACAGCCCCAAAACTGCCCAGATACACCCCCACTGCCCAGGGCCATCACCTCCCAGAGAGGAGCCCATCCCACGGGGCATGAAGGCTCCAGCTCACCCCATAGGCACCTGACACTGCCCCAAAATCTCCCCACCAGCCCCTTCAGCCCCACCCGCCTCGAGGAGACAGAGCGAGGCTGAAAACTGGCCATGCACTTTGGGACCGATGTAGAACGAGAGCGGCACCGACAGGCCGGGGGCCGTGAGGATCTGACAGTGACGGGCACGGTATCTGAGGCCAGGCTGGAGGCTATGGGGGGATCAGACAGTGATGGGCGCAGTGCCCAAGGCCAGGTCAGAGGCTGTGGGGGGATCGGACAGCGATGGGCACGGTGCCCAGCGTCAGCGCAGGGAGCTGTGGGGCCATGAGGGGATCAGACAGCGACAGACGCAGTGCCCGGGACCAGGTCAGGGGGCGGTGGGGCCTGGGGGATCACACAGGAACAGACCCCCCATTCTGCACCCCAACACGGTGAGTAGACCCCTGGAAGGTGCACGTCCCTGCAATGCTGAGCTCTGACCACTAGGAGTCAGCTTTGCTTCACACCCAACTGAGCAGCCAGTTCAGCCTGGCTGCTGGGGTCCCTTTAATATGAGCAGGGCTGGGGGGCAGCCCATGCCCGCAGGGACGAGGGCCTGTGCCAGCCAAGCCCTAGAAACTCCCCTCTAGAGGCTGCCCCGCCCTGGGCGCAAGGAAAGGGGGTTCCTGGGGCAGGGGTTGCAGGCTTGGGGTGGGGACCAGCTAAGGGCCGAGGCGAGTGGGGCCGTGATGGAGCCCTACGCCCAGGAGAGCACCAGGGGCTGGCACAGCAGGGCAGTGCCCAGGGAGGGGCAGCCGCTGCAGTCACTGAGCTGAGCCGCCCCCCAGCGTGTCTCTCCTGGGCTGGTTACGGCCACTTACCTGGCCCGATCATGTGCACGGTGCAGTTTTCAGTGTCTGCAGCTGAGGCCTCGGTGCCCGGGGACAGCATCCGCTGGGGGACAGAGATAGGAGGGGGGTGAACCCCTGGGCAGCCCCAGTCTGGAGAGCGTCAGGCCTGGGCATACGGGCTGCAAACGCTAGGTGGCTTCACAGCCACGGAGGGTGCAAGGGGCAGGTCTGTGTGCTCTCCTCCCCCCACAACCCCTCCTCCTGCCTCCCCCGCCATTATCTGTCCAGGATGTTCTCTCTTTCTCTCACACACACAGACACACCCGTCCTGCACCAAGACCCCCGACCCAGTGTCCCTTGGCCCTTCTTGCTGCCCCCTGCAGCCCCACCCCATGGACTCTCCAGCATGAGGGACAAGAGCATCCCCCCTTCCATGCCACCTCTCTCCGGCCCCACTAACCCACCAAGCCCTCGAGCCCTCGTCTGGCTGGTGCCCAACAGCCCCGTCCTCTGCCCTGAGGCACCAGCTGTCGCACTAACTCCAGAGGGAAAGCCGGGAGTCTCCAAAGGGCAAGCGCAGTACAGGGGCCCCATTCCCAAAAACCCAGGGGCCAGCGGCTCCTGTCCTAACCTCGGTTTCTTCAGCTAGGTGGCCTCCCCCACTGGGCCAGCTCTCCAGCTCCACCAGCTCATCCTGGGGGTCCGCTGCCACCGCTGATGCCTCCGCCATGTCCTTCGGGGTGGGGGGGAAAGAGCCAACCTCAGTGCCTCGCTCCCACATGCACAGTGGGGCAGACGGTGACGGGCGCTGCAGCAGGGACCCGGGGGGTGGGCGGGGTCTCCCCAGAGCCAGGTAGAGAAGGACTGCGCCCTCCCTGCTCCGAGAGGGGAGCCTCTGGGACTGAGCTGCCTGGAACAGAACCGTCCCCTCCATGCTCTGGATACCACTGCACGTAAAGCCCCCAAATCCTACTGGCCACATGCCCCATTTCCCTCTCCAGGGCTCCCCAGCACTCGGGGAGTCACACGCTGGGCGAGAGCGAGCTCTGGGGAACTCGCTGCCGGGCAGAGGCCTGGCCTGGCAGGGATCCCTAGCTGTGGGGTTCTGTGCTGCAGACCCATGGGGCACACACTTGGCAGGGCTGGAGGAGGACCATCTGCAGTGGGGCAGCCAATGGTTTGGGGCTCTGGCCCCACTCCCTGCTGTGTAGCATGGTGAAGAGTTCCACTTTCAGCCGCTAGCTTGATTGCTCTTTGCCCACGTCCCCAGGTTGGCACCAGTGCCCTCTGGAGCACCAGCTTCCCAGCTGCCCCTCCCCTGTCAGTGGGTGGGATACAAGGGGGCAGGATGGGCACAGCACTGTGCTGTACCCGGCCCCCGGGCCCCTCACCCGTTCCGAGGAGTCCAACCTCCTCAGCTTCAGCAGAGAGGCCACGGTGAAATACAGTAGCAGCAGGACACCGGGGTTCACGTAGACCGGCCAGGGGTGGCTGGTGTTGAGGAGGAGGGCGTTGGGGTTGGAGCAATTCAGTGGCAGGATGAAGGCCTTCAAGCCGAATATGCTGCAGGGAGGAAGGAGGTGGCGTTACACCCCTGGGCATGGAAGCAGTGTCAAGGCCAGGGGGCAGAGCCAGCTGGGAGCTGGCAGGCCAGTCTGGGTACTGAGGTGCCGGCGGCTGATGGTCATTCGCAGGCTTGCAAGGGGTGCCCCGGTGCTGAGCATGCCCCAGGGCCCCTCTCGCTGCCCGGGACGCCAGTGGGAAAAGCGACCGCGCTTTCTTCCACAACAGCACATTGTTTCCTTTGCTCATTTTGCCGTTCGCTGCCCCCCACCCCCCGTCTGCCACTTCTCCCGGCCGCTCTGCAAACGGGACCACCTGAGCCTTTCCCATACCCCCTCCTCTCGCCAGGGCTCCAGCCAGCCTCGCGGGTCATCCCTCCATTTCGGCTCTGTCCTCGGGCCGGACAGAACCCACCTGCCGGGCCAGCGGCCCAGCAATCCACCCAACCGGGGAGCTCAGGATCAGTTCTCAGCCCAGCCCTCCCACCCCATCGTCCTCGGCTTTCCTCACTGCCACCGTCCGCTGAACAGAGGCCATAGTTACCGCTGAACCCAGCCGAGGACTGGTGACTGCACAGACGGCTGTGCTAACCAACCAAGCTTCACAGCCCCCCTGAGGCACAGAGCAGGGCCGTGCCGTGCCCACACCGCACACAGCGAACCGGTGGCAGAGCTGGGACTAGGCCCTAGGACTTGCTGGATCCCGGTCTGATCGGCACATCCAGGGTCCCTTCACTGGCAGCTGGTTCCATCAGCTCCCCCTGGCATCCCCCTCCAAACCAGCCCCTGGCTACGGGAGAGCTCCTCCTTGGCGACCCACAGGTCCCCCCTTCCTTCCCTGCTCCCTCGGGAGGGGCTTATTCAGGGGAACCTTCTGGTGCCAGAGGCAGGTTGATAGGCAGGACGGAGGTGGGAATATCACCCGTGGGAGATGGGTCTTCCCCCCGCAAGTCAGGAAGGGGGCAGGCGGCTGCACCCACCTGTGCTGCAGGATGAGGCCGTGATGCCCACTGTCACTGGAGTTGGAGGGGCAGGCCTGCCACAGGCGAGCGACGGGACAGGGGCAGGCCAGCCCCGCTGCAGGGGATGGATGGGTGACGGGACGGGGCAGGCCAGACCGGCTGGAGGGGCGACGGGACAGAGGCAGGCCAGACCGGCTGGAGGGGCGACGGGACAGGGGCAGGCCAGACCGGTTGGAGGGGATGGAGGGGCGACGGGACGGGGGCAGGCCAGACCGGCTGGAGGGGCGACGGGACAGGGGCAGGCCAGACCGGCTGGAGGGGCGACGGGACGGGGGCAGGCCAGACCGGCTGGAGGGGCGACGGGACGGGGGCAGGCCAGACCGGCTGGAGGGGCGACGGGACGGGGGCGGGCCAGACCGGCTGGAGGGGATGGAGGGGCAACGGGACAGGGGAAGGCCAGACTGGCTGGAGGGGCGATGGGACAGGGGCGGGCCAGCCCGGCAGCAGGGGGGTGGGAGGGCTCCGGATAGGGGCGTCAGAACATAGGAGGGAGGCCAGGCCCGGGGCCTTACCGTGCCCAGATGCTGGCAGGGGGGAAGAGCCCCTGGATGAGCGGCGCCTGGTAGCTGTAGATGCAGAGCAGGTGGCCGCCAGCGAAGACGCCCACCATGACGCACAGCGTGTTGAAGCCCAGGTGGCTGATGGGGAAGTGGCAGGCCCACCAGGTGCAGATGCCCACGAAGAGCAGGTAATAGACACTGGAGAAGGCAGATGGCAGAGCGATCCCTGGGGAACGAGCCGACACCGGGGCTGTTACTGGGGCTGCTGAGAGCTGCAGTAGCCGGGTCACAGCTGGGGCTCCCCCCAGGGCCCTGCTCTGAGGCCCATGGGGGCCCCCCACTTCAGCACTGGGGACAGAGGCCTCTGCAGTGAACAGGGACAGTGCAGGCTGTGCTCCCCGCCGCACTCCCCGAACCCCCAGCCCCTCTGCTGCCAGCTAGGCTGAGAGCCCCAGACTCATCCCATGCCCAGGCCACAGATCCTGCAGTGACCCGGCGACCCTGGGCCAGGAGAAACTGGAGAGGACCCTCCCCCCAACACCTACCTGCCAGAGCCAGCAGCAGGATGGCCAGAAACTTCCCGACCGCCAGCAGGAGCCAGTGCGCCCTCACCCGCAGCGTAGCAGCCAGCGGCCCCCTTTGCTCCGCAGAGCCCACCTCCTCTGCAGCATCTTGCCCAGCCGGCCTCTTCAGGTCCTCCTCCTCCTCCTCCTCCTAAGTAAGGAACGAGAGCCAGGCTGTCACCGTGTCCCTCGGGCCCTGCAGCAAGAGCGGCCGCAGAGATGGATTCCTTTGGTCGGTGCAGTTACTGCACACGTGGTAGGAAATCCAGGGATCCAGCCCTGCACGCTGGGGCGTCTCACACACACACACACACTCTCCACGCGCCCTGGCCCCACAAACCAGCACTCCTGAGGCTAGTGCGACGAAGCCCCACAGGAGGCAGTACAGAGCCAGGGGCCGGGAGGAGACAGTTCCCCTCTTCAGAGGGTGCGGCACACACCACGTGGTAAAGACACCATTGACTGGTGGTAAGCACCGGGGGTGGGGGAGGAGCAGGACTCCGGAGTTCTATTCCTGGCTCCGTCACCCTCACTGTGTGACCGTGGGTAAGTCACTGCCCCTCATTGTGCCTCAGTTTCCCCATCTTCCAGATGCCTTTGGTGCCCCTGACCTGCCTGGCTTACGCAAAGGGCTCCTTATCCCTACAGTACAAAGGCACTGAGCTAGTCGGAAGCCCAGGATGAGCTGAGCTCCGGCCAGGCGACGCACAGCAGACAGAGCCATGGAATGCAGAGAAGGACGACACCGCCATGGAGCCTGCCGGGGAAAGGAGACCCTCGATCGGTCTCTGGGCAGGGCACCGGGGGCGAGGCGTCAGAGCAAGGGAGGGCAGGAGCAGAGCCCACACTCAGGGATCAGTCACGCTGGCTGTACAGAGCACCGGACAGACATGGACCCCCAGCAATGGACGGGTCGGGAGATGCAGGCAGCATGGTCAGGCTGCGGTTTCCGCCGACGCACAGAGAGGAATAAATGGGGACAGAGACTCCTGTTCTAGACCAGCCTGTGGCGCTGGCCCGACAGGTGGGGGAGGTTCTATGGGTCTGGTTTACATGCCCAATGGCCTGGCCTTTTTACCAGCCCCACACGAGAGGGCTCTGCACCCCACACCATGGTCATTTCAGTGACCAGTGGCTAGAGCACAGGAGTCAGGGGCTGGGCCTGGCTCTGACACTGACCCCGGGTGAGTCATACCCCGGCTCCATGCCTCAGTTTCCCATCAGTAAAACAGGGATAACCAGACCTGCTTTGCAGGGATTTTTTCACTCAGCCGGCTGGTGTTTTGAGGGTCTCAGGTGGAAGGTACCAGCAAAGCCCTGGAGAGGACTGGACGTGGCACAGCAGGAGTTTGCTGCGGCTGCTGGGAAAGAGCGCCGTCTCCTGCGGTCAGAGGCGGCAAGCTCCCCACCAGGGCTTCCGTGGGAGGATAGCTGGAGAAGCCACCGGTGTTACAGGGAGTCGCAGTGGAACCAGCTGCCCATCCTGCTCAGTTCTCAAAGCACCTGCCATTTCCACAGCAAGGTGGGCGAGGGAAGAATAAATACGGAGCAACGAGGAATCTGCTGCCGGAGCAGCCCCACCGGGCCACGTACCAGGCGTGCCGGGAGCCGCTTGGCCACCTGCCTCTTCCTCCCTTCGCTGCACCCTTCAGCCCCGGGGAGGTTCAGAGATTTCAGACAACAGCAGCCCAGCTGTAGCTACATATAAATGCCACGCATGATCTGCCTGGTGAGGGCACAAGGGGGCAGCCCTATGTACAGAGCTGCCACGCCGGAGCAGAACAGGGCCCAGCCAGCCTGGTCTCCTGTCTCTAACAGCGAGCGCCCAAGACAATGCCATAAATTCAGAGGCAGGAGCTTCTCCAGACCTTTGGGAAGGGGAAAGGGATCTGGGATCCCCCCGGGCTCTGCTGCTCTCACAGGGCACTTTCCAGCCATCCACTGCAGCATCCTCACCCGCACCCCACAGCAGGGGAAACTGAGTCCCAGCAATGAGAAGCGACTCCCCCACAGTGGTAGTGAATCAGTGGCAGAGCTGGGACGAGGACCCAGGAGTCCCGGCTCCCATCTGCGTGTCCTGCCCACTGAGTGATGCTGCCTACTAGACGAGGAACCTGGGCCGCAATGTCCAGATCCAGATCCAGGCTCTTCCAAGGTTCTGGTGGGTCAGGTTCAGCCCGTTGCTGACAGATTCAGACCCAGACTGTTTGGGCTGGGCGGGCAAAGGTGCCTCATCACCCCATGTACAGTGGTGTCCCGTCCCCCCCCAGCCATAACCTGACCCTCCAGGTCAGAGAGTCACAACCTGGGAGTATTTCTGGGTTGGGTCATGTTACACGGGGGTGGGAGGGTGAGGCAGGCTGGGGACCGGCCCCGTCCCATGGGGGTCACTGGAGACCAGCACATTCCACCAGGAGCTTGGTCACTGCTCACTCACATGCTGCCCAGTCCTCCAGCAATCCCTGCTCTCTGCAGCTCTGGAACCAGCCCTGCTGGTGTGGGAGCCAGCTGCCGCCATCTCCACCCCACAGCCCTGCACCTGGCCTTGTTTGTCTCATTAGCTGCTTGGAAAACACATTACAAAAAGCCTGTTTTTCTTGGCGCTGCAGCCTGGGTTCCCGGCACCGAGCAATTTTCCAGGCCGCCTTCCGCGCTGATCCATTCTCGCAGCAAAGGTATTTGCAGCTGACGGGGCTCCAGCCGCAGCCTGGCACTGTCCGGGCCTGGGCTCGGGGCGCCGGGTTCAGATCCAGTTCAGATTACTTCACGCACACAAACAGACCGCAACTAAACGGCATGAGGGCTGGCTGGAACCCTCTCCTGGAGCCGGCATTCACTCAGCCTTTTCCACCCTCACCTCTGCACTCGCTGCTGGCCCTTGCTATGGGGGATCTGCAGCGAGAGGGGGCCCGGCCCCAGGGCCAGGGAGTGCTTCAATCCTAACTGGAGGGGGATGGGCAGCCGAGGAGAACTGGGCAGCTGCCTCCTGCACAGCTGGATGTATCGATACGGTCCCTGCTGTGCACCCAGGGGAGCCAGGCCTTTGCAGCTGTGGGATTTGGAGGTGGAACCCCACTGAATTATGGGGCTGAGGCCCTCGCCAGGTATTTCCATTTCTGCCAGGAGAGCTATGCCAAGGCAGACCTTGGCTTTGCTCTGGGCACCATCCATCAGCACCAGGGCGTCTCGCCCGCCAGGCTGCCAGGCCCAGGGCTGATGGGTCACAAGCACCAGTCACAAAACAGACCCCGGGACACATGGAGCTAAAATTCACAGCAATGGTAGAAAGCGAGGGCCCTTGGGGCACCATGCCCAGAGAGCAGGCCAGGGTACAGCGGGTTGCAGCCACACACTGAGCCCAATCAAAGGCATGAAGGAGCCATGTTCTGGGGTCACCCCAGGCGAGTCCCCTCCTTTGCTGTCTGAGCCTGGGCCCCCTTGCCCCTAAAGTGCCACTGCCGGAAGGGTGGGCAGGGAATCGTCCCCATGCATCCTGTGGTCTCCAGTGCCCAGCTAAGTGCCCTGCGCGTGGCCCCAGCCCGGGTCGGCTTGCCAAGAGCGCTGGCCGCAGGAAGCTGCTGCACCAAGTGCCACGGCTGGAGAGAAAATCCCTCCCCTTCCCCCCACAGCTGCCAGCCTCCATCAGCTCTGCGGGGCCAGCTCTGCCAGGCACCCTGCTGGGCGCTCCCCGTGGCTGGCCCAGGCAGCCCCATCCCCGAGGCCGGGCTGGGACAAACAGCCAGTGTTAGGAACCAAGAGAGATCAGATGCTGCAGCTTGCTGGGGGACGCGGACACTTCCCACCTGCCTCCCCATGGGGGGCTGGGGCAGCTGAGACTTAGCAGCTTCCAGGCTCCGCGCCCCTGGCTCACCCTGGTCCGACCTGAGCACTCTGCAAACCCCACCCTCCTCCCCCAGCACCCAAGAGCTAACGATGGCGTTTCCCCCTAGTTGAGCCAAGGGGCTCCTGGCAGCAGCGGCTGGCGCAACCCAGGGGCCGGCGCAGCTGTGCCAGCCACCTCACTGGGCAACGTTCTCACGGGCCAGTGCCAATGGGAAACAAAAGGCCTGGCCAGCCCTGAGTTAGGCTGGGGTCTGTCTCCTGTGGGCCGGGGGCACAGAGGGTGGGGAGAAGCCCCCTGGTTTCTTCACTGCTAGCACGGCCAGAAGCAATCAGAACGGTCTATCCCCGAGCAGCTGGCTTTGGACAGGCCCATGCCAGAGCTGTCTGAGGAACTGGGGAAAGCAGCCGGGTCGTAGCAGCTGAGGAATCTCACGCTGCTTTACAATCCTTCTGGCATGAAGCCTCGTGCCACCTCTGGAAGGAGGGCACCGGGGGCACTGCTCCCGTCTCAGAGACGTGGCACCGCACAGCAAGTCAGGACACAGCCAGAACCCAAACCCGGACCCTCTGCTCTAACCACTAGGCCCTGCTCCCAACCAGCCACACAGCCAGCACAGGACTAGAAACAATAATCCACTCGCAACCCCCTAAAGGCCCCGCCACGCAGGGTGCTGGTGACCAGGTCCCCATCATGGGACGCAAGCTCAGCTCTCTGCCAGTGAGTCTCTTCAGCCCAGGCACCAAGCAGGGACCAGGGAGCTCTACAGCGCTCAGCTCTGAGCGCCAGAGCTGGAACGAGTTTGCTGGGTCTCTACCTGGCCCCTGTCTGGACCCATCCGCCAGTTGGGTAGGACTGGCAGCCTTCAGCCACAAAAGGGCTGGACTAGGCCCAAGGCACATTGGCAGAGCTCTGAGGATGAGCCAGCCGCCCCGAACCACTCCTGGGTGCAGCAATCAGCCCCCTCTCTGGCCAGCAGGCGCACGAGAACACCCCGACACACATCCCCCTCGCAACCCGGGGCGGGACGCTGGCGCCGTAGAGCTCTGAGGCGGGCAGGGCAGGGCAGGGCGTTGGGCTGGGAGGAGCTGAAGAGTTAACGTTCCCAGCAGGAGCGGGAGAGGGCCAGGCTCCGCGCCCCCGATCCCAGCCCAGGTGCGGCTGGGCCTGAGGCTGGCCAAAGCCCACATCCCCCGCGGTGCTGCCCCAGGTCCGCCTTTGCTTTCTGCCCCTACACGCACCCCAAGGCCCCCGACAGCTTGTTGTGGCAGCAGGGGGACATCTCCACTGAACACGGCACCCGGCAGCAC